CAAATATTTGTTTTGGTTTTTTTTTTCATTATCTTTTATATGTTTCAAAATTACTATATTTTTCTCTAAACTAGTCTAACATTAACTACTACTACTACATTACATTGTTCCATGCATATGGAAGACATATTGAAGCTGCACGGGTCATCATTGGCATAGAATGATGGAAAGAGGTTGACACAGTCCTCATTCTCTAAACTAGTCTAACATTAACTACTACTACTACATTACATTGTTCCATGCATATGGAAGACATATTGAAGCTGCACGGGTCATCATTGGCATAGAATGATGGAAAGAGGTTGACACAGTCCTCACCCTCTCGATCCCGCCTCCTGTTATTGGGTTCTCCTCTTGACCAAAGAAGTGAAAGTTCCGTGGCGTTTTCATCAGAGGCTACCCAAACAAACTGACCCTCCTTGACAAGGCTGCCTACCTTCCCCCACCCTGTTCAACATCTTCCAAGACAGAATTATGTCAGATGCTCTGGAAGCGCATGAGGAGACAGTCAGCATTGGTGGCAGAACAATCACCAACCTACGCTTTGCGGACGACATAGACGAGCTGGCTGGGAACGAAGAAGAGCTAGCCAACCTGGTAAGGCGTCTCGACAAGATCTCGTCGTCCTACGGCATGCTAATCAGTGCTGAAAAGACAAAACTGATGGCAAATAACACCACAGGCATCACCACTGAAATTAAGGTCGGGGAGGAAAGACTAGAGACTGTAGGCCGCTTCAAATACCTTGGAGCAATAGTCTCAGAAGAAGGCTTCAAGCCTGAACTGATGTCCAGGATTGCGCAGACTACAACAGCACTAAAGAGGCTCAAGAAAATATGGTATAACAAAAGTATAGCCCCCAGCACCAAAATCAGGCTGATGCGCTTATTAGTCCTCTCCATTTTCCTGTATGCCTGCGAATCCTGGACATTAATAGCCTATCATGAAAGGAAAATAAAGGCGATGACGATGATATGCTTCAGAAGCATTTTTGGCATCTGCTATAGGGACCATATCTCCAATGATACAGTGAAAGAAAGGTTTCGTTTGGCATTGGGCCGTACGGTGACCTAATGGTGACTGTGAAAAAACACACACTACAATGGTACGGCCACGTAACAAGGAAACAATGGCTTGCCAAAGAAATATTGCAGGGCACCACTGTCAACTCCTAACGTCTTCTTGGATTGATTACATTCGTCAGTTCTTTCATACGTTGAAGCGTCGTACTATTCTAACTCAACTCCTTTTGATAATAACTATAACTTTAATATCTAAGTAAATATAATAAACATCCTATCACTCCAAGGTTCCACTCAAGACTGCCGCAGGACTAAAACATACGTCACAACACTGCATAGACAATACGTCACGACTCAGCATAAAAATACGTCATGAAGACCATGGCGGGAAGAGCGTTCACTAACTATAATAGTCAAGCGCGGGAAAAGCGTTCAACAACTAATGAACATAATATTGAGTCGCAACAATGGGAGTCGCTTAGTCAATTATTTTGTCACGTGATGTGAGTAAAAACGAGTAAGATTTCCGGTATACTGTATACAACACACTAGTGCTTGACAACAGTAGCCCGCTACACACTACAACTACACTACATTTCGTCCAATGAAAATTAACAATAAAATAAACAAAGGGGAATGACTCCTGCATCAATATTGAATAAAAACGCAAATGACGTCATGAGCACGCACGGAGCTCAACAACAGCCTGCCGATAATAGTATTGATAGTTCCCATCGAATATCACTCACACATTTTTCTTGAAATAACTTTCTTCCTTTAATTATAACTGACGTATATTTATTGTCACATTTATGTATTTCATTTAAAAAACGCGTGTATTCCAGAATATTTCGAAAGGTAAAATGTTTAAGTAACAGGACATTGGGGAAGCACTGATGAAGTATCTTTTGTTGTGTGTAGCAGCCTAGTGATGGCTTACTCACATCACGTGACCAAACAAGGAAGTGACTAAGCGACTCCCATTACTAATGAACGCTCATACTCGACAACCACAAGAGGAGGGAGAAGAAGAGGAAGACAAAGAATAATATGGGAGGATAACATCAAAGAGTGGACAGGACTAACTCTGGGCGATGCTGTGCGCAGTGCAGAAGACAGAGACGAATGGGGAGGACATGTCATCTGTGGCGGCCCAACGGTCTAAGGATTAAGGGGCATGATGATGATGATGACGATGAAAATTCCAACGTCTACAATGTCAACTAAGTCTAAGGAATAAAGCTCAAATTATATAAATACAAATTGTGATGGAATCATAAAATGATAAATTCGCTATTAATATTTTTTAACCAACCCCCTCCCCACCCTTCCCGGTCTTCTTTTAGCATGTTAAATATGAACATGACGATATTTAAGTTTTTTAAAAAATATTGCAATGGCAAGCTAAACGGCTGAGAAAGGCTGTAGATGATGGTAAGAGTTTTAGACCGATATCCTTGAACTTCAGCATTGATAAAATAAGTGAATAAGATCGATTCTCCCACCTATGCCCAATGATCTTAAAGGGTTTTCAAGACTTTAGCCCAATGATCTTACATGGTTTGTCAAGACCTGAACCCATTGATCTTAAATGGTTTTCAAGACGTGAGCCCAATGATCTTAAAGGGTTGTCAAGACTTGAACCCAATGATCTTAAATGGTTTTCAAGACTTGAACCCAATGATCTTAAATGGTTTTCAAGACCTAAGCCCAATGATCTTAAATGGTTTTCAAGACTTGGGCCAAATGATCTTAAATGGTTGTCAAGATTAAGCCAAATGATCCTAAATGGTTTCAAGACTTGAGCCCAATGATCTTAAATGGTTTTCAAGACCTAAGTCCAATAATCTTAAACAGTGTTCAAGACCTGAGCCCAATGATCTTAAATGGTTTTCAAGACCTGAGCCCAATGATCTAAAATAGATTTCAAGACTTGAACCTCATGATCTTAAATGGTTTTCAAGACTTGAGCCCAATGATCTTAAAGGGTTTTCAAGACTTGAGCCCACTGATCTAATTGGCTTTTAAGACCGGAACCCAATGATCTTAAAGGGTTGTCAAGACCTGAGCCCAATGATCTTAAATGGTGTTCAAGAACGGAACCCAATGATCATAAATTGTTATCAAAAACCAAGCGCAATGATTTTTAAATTGGTGTCAAGACTTGAGCCCAATAATCTCAAATGGTTTTAAAGCCTTGAGCCCAATGATATTAAATGACTTTCAAGACCTGAGCCCAATGATCATAAATTGTTATCAAAAACCAAGCGCAATGATTTTTAAATTGGTGTCAAGACTTGAGCCCAATAATCTCAAATGGTTTTAAAGCCTTGAGCCCAATGATATTAAATGACTTTCAAGACCTGAGCCCAATGATCTTAAATGACTTCCAAGAAAATAAACCCCTCCCAACATCAGTTATTGTTAACTTCCAGCCGGCCTTTGATAGAGAATGGACGAAAAATTTACTCTGGAAGGCCTTTGATAGAAATTGGACAAAAGATTACTCTTGCAGGCCTTTAATAGATTTTTCAAGAAAGATTTACTCTGGTAGGCCTTTGATATCGATTGGACGAAAGATTTACTCTGGCAGGCCTTTGATTGAGATTGGACGAAAGATTAACTCTAGCAGGCCTTTGATAGAGATTGGACGAAATATTTACTCTTCCATGCCTTTCATAGAGATTGGACGAAGGATTTAGTCTGGCAGGCCTTTAATAGAGATTTAAGGAAAGATTTACTTTTGCAGGCCTTTAAAAAAGATTGGATGAAAGATTTACTCTGGCAGGCCTTTGATAGAGATTGGACGAAAGATTTACTCTGACAGGCCTTTGATAGAGATTGGACGAAAGATTTACTCTGGCAGGCCTTTGATAGAGATTGGACGAAAGATTTACTTTAGCAGGCCTTTGATAGAGATTGGTCGAAAGATTTACTCTGGCAGGCCCTTGATAATGATAGGATAAAAGATTTACTCTGGCAGGCCTTTGATAGAAATTGGACGAAAGATTTACTCTGGCAGGCCTTTGATAGATTTTGGTCGAAAGATTTACTCTAGCAGGCTTTTGATAGAGATTGGACGAAAGATTTACTCTTGCAGGCCTTTGATAGAGATTGGCCCAAAGATTTACTCTGGCAGGCCTTTGATAGAGATTACACGAACGATTAAGTCTGGCAGGCCTTTGATAGAGATTGGACGAAAGATTTACTTTTGCCGGCCTTTGATAGAGATTGGACGAAAGATTTACTCTAGCAGGTCTTTGATAGTGATTGGCCAAAAGATACACTCAGGCAGGGTTTTGATAGAGATTGGACGAAGATTTACTCTAGCAGGCCTTTGATAGAGATTGGACGAAACATTTACTCTAGCAGGCCTTTGATAGAGATTGGACGAAAGATTTACTCTGGCAGATTAACAATAATGTGATTATTGACAAATCAAAGTTCGTTTTTT